GGGGGGCGGGGGGGGGGGGAGTCCAACGGGCCCCCGGGGCCGGGGGGAGCGGGCTTCTGGGGTGCCCGCGACGTCCGCCACGGCGCCGGGGGAGCGGGTCGGGGATGGGGCGCCCAGCCGGGCGGCCGGGGCCTCGGCCATGTTCGCGGGGCTGCAGGACCTGGGCGTGGCCAACGGCGAGGACCTGAAGGAGACGCTGACCAACTGCACTGAGCCGCTGAAGGCCATCGAGCAGTTCCAGGTGCCGCCCGCGGGGGCGGCCTAGGCTGCCAGGGGCGGGCTGGCGTGGCGGCCCTGCCATCGGGGAGGGAGTTGTCTGGAAGTAGCATTTTCTGCCGTTCTTCGAGTGGCTCGAGGCGACGGGGCGTCCCAAGTTTGTGCCCACTCCTGGACGCCCGGGAGCTCCCAGTTCCCGCGGCTGCCAGCAGCGGAGCATCGGGTGCGGGATAGACTAAGCAGCCGGCCGCACTGACCGTCCGTTTACCCAGACGGAGAACGGCGTGCTACTGCCCTCGCTGCAGTCGGCTCTGCCCTTCCTGGATCTGCACGGGACGCCGCGCCTGGAGTTCCACCAGTCGGTGTTCGATGAGCTACGGGACAAGCTGCTGGAGCGGGTGTCGGCCATCGCCTCGGAGGGGAAGGCTGAGGAGAGGTGGGTGGGCTCGTGTGGGCTCAGCCTGCACTGCCCCAGCAGCATTTGTCCCTGGGCTGTGCCTTTTCCCCTGTCGTGGTGGCCCTGGGCGTGTGTAAGCCGTCGTGTATGTGAGGTCCCAGTCACCACTACCGTTTAAGGCGGGTCTCGGGGGCATGATTCCTGTGCTGCGTCCTTAGTCCGAGTTGTCAGGTACAAGAAGCTGGAAGATCTCCTAGAGAAGAGCTTTTCTCTGGTCAAGATGCCGTCTCTGCAGCCAGTGGTGATGTGCGTCATGAAGCACCTGCCGAAGGTGAGCGTGCTGGCCAGTTGCCGGCAGGGCCAGGGTGCCTGCAGCTGGGCACAGCCCTCTTGCCTGCAGGTGTTTCTTGGAAGCCAGAGCAAGCACTTGGTCTCCGCAGCCACGTGGCTTCCTGGCGGGTGGAGGAACTGCTCACTGAATGCAGCTCCGTGGTGTGTGGTCCAGGGCCAGCCCGTGGAAAGTGGCGCCCACTCAGGTGCCGAACCCTCTCTGGGAAGAGCTGCCAGTGTCCAGCATGCCTGCCAGCACCTCCTGGGTCCTGGGGGCAGCTCAGTGTCCTGTTTGGTGGAGCTGGCTCCAGGTGGTTCCCGTGTTGAGCTCTGGCCTCCTGGTGCCCCCCACGGAGCCCAGTGACCCGGGGCAGCCCACGGGGATCTGTGGTGTGCTGTAGGTTCCCGAGAAGAAGCTGAGACTAGTGATGGCTGACAAGGAGCTGTACCGAGCCTGCGCCGTGGAGGTGAAGCGGCAGATCTGGCAGGACAACCAGGCGCTGTTTGGGGACGAGGTCTCCCCACTGCTGAAGCAGTACATCCTGGAGAAGGAGAGCGCGCTCTTCAGCACCGAACTCTCGGTGCTACATAATTTCTTCAGCCCTTCCCCCAAGACCAGGCGCCAGGGCGAGGTGAGGGCAGCGAGGGCCTCCTGCCCTCCCGGCTTGAGTGGTCCTGCACCTGGAGGGGCTGGCTTGTGAACATGGCTGACGAGGTTGACTGTGGCTGGGTTTGCGTGTGTTTTGCTTAGAAAGTGATATGTGAACAAGGTAAATCCTGCAGAAGGACCCCTGGTGAGCAGGGACAAGCTCTTTTCAAAGCACTTCTGAAAAACTGGTTTTGTTGAGACCAGCAGTTGGCGTAACGGCTATTTGTCACTGGACTCCCAGGTAGTTGACCATGGTTCTAGTCCCGGACCCGGTGGCTTAAAACTCAAGTGGGTGCGTGTATGTGCCCAAGATCCCGAGAGGAGAATGGAGAAGGGATTGCAGCATGACCATCCCCCCTGGGGGTGATTTCTCGCTTTCTGTCTCTCTGTCTGGCAAGCACACATGCCCTATAGCAAAAACCTCTAAAAAAAAAAAACAAACAAAACAACAACAACAAAAAATACAACAACGACTGGTTTTGTTGGGTCTTTATTTTTTTTTGGAGAGGTTTTTGCTGTAGGGCACGTGCACTCACCAGAAAGAGAGAAGCAGATAGAAAGCACCCCCCGGTGTGTGTGGAGGCCATGCTGCAGTTCCTTCTCCATTCTCCTCTCGGGATTTTGGGCATGCACAAACAAATGCCTGGTGTGAGTTTAAGCCACCGGGTCCAGGACTGGAACTGCGGTCGACTACATGGGAGTCCAGCGACATAGCCATTATGCCATCTGCTGGTCCCAGCTGGGTCTTTAGTTCTTGAAATCTGTAAGTAAGTAAGTGGTTAGTGTGGTTGCAGCTGAAGTCTTCGCATTTCTTCTTTGTTTTTTCTTTTCTTTTTTCTTATTTGCCAGAGGGTGCAGGTGTGCTCCAGAGAGTTAGAGGGAGTCACCCCCCCGTATCCTGGGCATGCACACACCCGTGCCCAGTGGTGTTTTTCAAGACGCCAGGTCTGGGATTCAGCACACTGCAGTGGCCATGTGGTTCTCAGCTGCCTTGACCCCCAGGCCATGGCTGGCCCCATTTCTCTCCCTTTAAAAGACAGCTGACTGGGAGCAGCAGAGGGTACAATGGTTTCATCACGGACTCCAGTGTAGTGAGTCCCGGACCTCGCGGCTTGAAACACACCAGGCGCCTGTGCATGTGTGCCCAAAATCCCCAGAGAAGAATGGAGAAGGGATTGCAGAGTGGCCATGGCCCCTGGGAGGGTTTCTGTCTCTCTGGCCAGTGCTCATGCCCTATAGCAAAAGTCTCTTTAAAAAACAAGTAATTTAAGGTTCTGGCTAATAACACCAATATTGTTCTCAAAACTCAAATGTGCAGTAATGAGTGAGTCTTCCTTTATGTTGAAGTTCCTTGGAGATTTGGGATGAATGCTGTTTGATAGAAAGGCAGAGCGAGCTCAGCACTCCCACGTCCGGCACTGGGGCAGGCGAGTGACCTCACTGGTCATGAGGGCTGGGTCCCACGTGGGTGACTCTGGCTTGAGTCCTGGACCCAGCAGCTTGAAAAATGCACCCACGGCGTGTGCGTGCGTGCGTGCCCCAGATCCTGAGAGCAGAATGTGGAGGGGGCTGTGACCTCTCTCTCTCTCTCTTGCAAACTTGCTCGCTCTGGCTCTGGCTCTGGCTCTCTTTAACAGGTGCATGTGCTCTGCAGCAAAAAACAAAAGAAAAGCAAATTTTCTGGTATAGCATTAAGGGAGAGTAAAGAGAGGGCCAGCAGGCGGCATGGTGGTTGGGGCGCTGGATTCCCACATGGCTGACTGCAGTTTGAGTCCTGGATCTGATAGAAAGGCAGAGCGAGCTCAGCACTCCCACGTCCGGCACTGGGGCAGGCGAGTGACCTCACTGGTCATGAGGGCTGGGTCCCACGTGGGTGACTCTGGCTTGAGTCCTGGACCCAGCAGCTTGAAAAATGCACCCACGGCGTGTGCGTGCGTGCGTGCCCCAGATCCTGAGAGCAGAATGTGGAGGGGGCTGTGACCTCTCTCTCTCTCTCTTGCAAACTTGCTCGCTCTGGCTCTGGCTCTGGCTCTCTTTAACAGGTGCATGTGCTCTGCAGCAAAAAACAAAAGAAAAGCAAATTTTCTGGTATAGCATTAAGGGAGAGTAAAGAGAGGGCCAGCAGGCGGCATGGTGGTTGGGGCGCTGGATTCCCACATGGCTGACTGCAGTTTGAGTCCTGGATCTGGTGACTTGCTTTCTCACTTTCTGTCTCTGGTGAGAGCATGTGCCCCACAGCAAATTTAAAATAATAACAACAAATTGAATAAAATAATTCTAAAAGAAGAGGAGCAGGTAAGTGTTTTGTTTTTCAGCTTGCCATAGGGTACACACACTCACCATAGAGAGGTGCCTAGCTGGTTCCCAGGAGCTGTGCCCACCACCTAGGTGTGGATTAAGCTGGTGGACAGCAGCTGGGCGGAATGCTGTGTTGGCCTTGGGTGTGACGAGAGCCCCTGTGCCAGGGCAGGGTGTGGCCAGGTCCTGGGGTGGTGGGCCTGAGTCCTCATGGCCTTGGGTGGTGGCTGGGAGACTTGGGTTGGCTTTTGCTCCCTGGACACTGGGGCCTTGGTTCTGTCTGGTGAGGCTGGACTCTGGTGGTAGACGAGGTGCCCACAGGGCTCAAGTGGAGGGAAGAGATGGGGCAGTGGTCACCTGGGCCTCACCTAGTCTGGGCAGCCTAGAGCAGATGCCTCGACTCAGGCCCTGAAGGCAGCGGCAGCATGGCCGTGCACGTGGCCAGCTGGTCTCCCCACACGGCCACCTTCTTCCTTAGCACAGGTGCTCAGGGCTGCCTCTGGATGTAGGCACTCCCTGACCAGGCGAGGGTCCCGGCAGGGCGCCCAGGTCCGGGAGGGAGAGCAGAGGGCCACGTCCAGGCAAGCAGCCCGCGGTGCCTTGCAGGTGGTACAGAGGCTGACGCAGATGGTGGGGCGTAGCGTGAAGCTGTACGACATGGTGCTGCAGTTCCTGCGCACGCTCTTACTGCGCACCCGGGCTCTTCCTGCGCACCCGGAATGTGCACTACTGCACGCTGCGGGCCGAGCTGCTCATGTCGCTGCATGACCTGGACGTGGGTGACATCTGCTCCGTGGACCCCTGCCACAAGGTAGCCACCCGCCCTCTGCCCGGGCCGGCTTCCTCCTGACTGCCTGGGGCCCTGGCCCCTCCGGGCACCCTAGGAGTGGCGTTTCTGTGCCACCCGCACCCTGTGGACACTGCGAGGCTGACTCCTGGGAACTGAGCTGTGCCCCGAGCCGCTTCATCTCGCGGAGCACTGCAGTGCCCCCGCCCCAAGACCACGAGCGAGTCTAGAGAAACCAGCCAGACCCTCCACGAGGGCCTGGCCACGCCCTGCACCCACACGCATTCTCCTGGGTAGAGAGCGTGGGCACCGATGTCTTCTGCATGCACGTTCCTCCTCGTGTGGCTCCTGGTCATGCAGCCTGGTGGGAGGGCTCAGTGGCTCCCAGTCACCTTTGCCCTTGGTGTCCCTGGGCTCCAGCCTTGCCTGCTGGGGGGACACACACCTTGGCCTGTGTCCTCACTTGTCCTGTCCCCATGTGGGCTCTCATGGCACAGACACCTCCGTTCTGTTGGCACAAAGGCAGGAGCCACCCCTTGGGCAGTGGCTGTGCCCAGGCGAGAGGCCAGTGAGAGTGGGGCCGCAGGGCGTGGGGACCTGGGGGCCCAGCGCCCTGACACGTGCTCTCGCCGCCGTTCACCTGGTGTGCATCCGAGAGCTGTTCGTGGACAGCAAGAGAGCCCGGGAGCTGCAGGGCTTCCTCGATGGCGTGAAGAAGGGGCAGGAGCAGGTCCTGGGGTGAGGGCTGGCCCTGCGTCCTGCTGTGGGGAGCTGCATGCCCGTCTAGCTGCTTGCTGAGAAATGGAGTGCCTTGGGACGAGTCTGGGCCGTACCCCCATCTATGCATGGGCCAGCAGGCTTGGCAGCCGGGGTCTCGGCGTTGGGCCTTCTGGTATCTGCAGTGGGGGGGAGGGCTGCCTTCAAGACAGGGTGGGCCCCAGAGCCTGACCTGGACCTGGCTCCCAGCAGCCTCTGCCAGACCTGTGGGTACAGTGCTGCCTGGGCCCGCCCTGGTCACTTCCATTTTTAGAATTGCGGTGCACGGTAGGGGGTCCCAGACCAGGGGCCTTTCAGGGAACCGTGGAGGCTGACATGGGACTCACCATCTCAGATGTACCAGAAGCTGCTCCCATCAGACAGGTGCTAGCGCCTCATTAGAGAGCAGATGTTCATGTCGAAACAAGTGGGAGTGACACCTGTTTAAGTGGCTGCGCTGTCCCCAGGGCTCTGCGGCCTCGGCCCCTGGCTGAACGCTGTGGGGTCTGGGCTGGGTATCAGAGTGTGGGCCATGGTTTGATGCTCCTTCAGCTGTTTGGAAGGTAGAGTGCAGGCAGAGTGGTGTCCTCTTGTCCAGTGGAGAGGCCGGTGCCCTGTGGTCCGTTCCTGAGGCCATGAGCCCAGCCCTCGGCCGCCCCTCCATTAGGCAGAGCAGTGGGCCGGAGTGGGGCGGCTCTGAGTCGACGTAGGGCCTGTCTTCCAGGGACTTGTCCATGATCCTGTGCGACCCCTTTGCCATCAACACGCTGTCTCTGAGTACCATCAGGCATCTGCAGGAGCTGGTGGGCCAGGAGACGCTGCCCAGGGTGAGTGCAGGTGCTGCCCAGGGAGTGGTGTGCACCCAGGCCGCCCTGCCCCCGAAACTGGGCAAGGCAGGCCGGTGCTTTTTACCCAGGAGGTGGGACATGGCCACGCCCTGGGGCCTGTGGTGCTTGGTGAGGAGTAGGGTCCCCACTGAGGCTGCCTCCCCACAGGACAGCCCCGACCTCCTGCTGCTGCTCAGGCTGCTGGCCCTTGGCCAGGGAGCCTGGGACATGATTGACAGCCAGGTCTTCAAGGAGCCCAAGATGGTAAGGGGCTCCGGTCTGGTCTGCCCTCGGCAGGGAGGGGAGCCAGTTTGGGCGTGGCTCAGGATCCTCCTCCCAGAATTTGGGGTGGGGTCTGTGCAGAGGGTATGGGGGCCAGGGTGAGGTCTGCCTGTGCAGGGCAGGGTCAGGAGCTGGGGGTGGGTCGTGGCTGCTGGCCAATGCCCCGCCCCCCC